GTGGCTAGAGTCCCTTTGGACGGATGTGCAAAGGGTGTTGGTGAGGATATTGTTGGGGTTTCAGCACTCACGCGAACGTGTGATGTCAACGGCGGCTTAAGTTATTAGGGTGTCTCCATCTTCTTGATTACATTTAAAAAAAAAAAAAAAACACTTAATAATCAACTTTAAAAAGTCAATCAAATAAAACTAACTCAACATAAATTCTAGAGTTAATACTCTAAATGGTCCCTCCAGTATGTTATAATTTACAATTTGGTTCTTTATTATTAATTTATTCAAAATGCATGGTCCATCAACTATGAAAAATTTACTTAATTTGGTACAGTCAAAAAATCATTTAACATGAATTAATTGAGCGTTATAACATAGTCAAAGGAACATGCGGCAAAATGTAAATCATATCATTTCAATGTTAAGAAGTCGTTTTTAAATAGTTTATTGAATGCTTTAAATGTCAAATAATTATCAATTTACTCCACGTAACAAAAGTTTTTATAAGTGGCGTTCAATTCTATATTGCATTTTATTCTACGAACAATGCTGTTTTTTTTTTTGTATGACTACTCCGTAGAAGGTGTGAAAGCTCTGATTTCTCTCATCCAGATGCTCCTTTTCTCCTTTCTTGTGTTAGTCACATGTTTCTAGTCATAATATATATACTAAGAACTCATATACGGAGACTAATCATATTCTTATCAAGTGAGACTTCAAAAGATAATGAAAACTCATGAATGATATAAACATCAATGGATGACAAACACTCCCTTATAAATTTTAAGCTAGCTATCGAGTTGTGTTCTTAAGATTCAAAGTCGAGATTTCTAGAAACGCTTTATTTTTATAAACTCATAGTAATAAATGTTGTTTTCATCAATTGGTTTGGCTTAATCGAACGACAACGCAATAAATGTACAAAATTAAACATGTTTGAATGGAATGAGGAAAAGAAAACATATATATTTCTAGAGAAATGATGGGTTTAGTCTAATTACACTTGTGATTAATGCATATATATATATATATATATATATATATATATATATATATATATTTATTTATTTATATTTATATTTATATTTATATAATTTTCGTCCACCAATAGATAGGAAGTGGATAGAACGCGATAATAGAACTTCTCCAATGAAGCCAATGATCTTCTGGTACTTATTCAACCACTTTTCAAGATAGAAAAAAATTAGTATTTCGTAATTTTGTGAATCTTTCTGTGGATAGAAACACAATTTATATTCACAATCTATAATTTTTACAACGAATAAATCGATAGAAGTGGACAAAAAAGTATAGAATTCTCCAACCAAGCGAATGTTCTTCTCATCTATTTAACTAAAAATTTTTGAGCTACGTACACAAAAATTAATACTCCAAATCGTTGTAAACCCCTTAGTGATGGAAATACGATTTTCATCCACAATTCTTAACTTCCAACGGTAAATCAATATGGAACGTTGGTTTCTATCATTTTCTTTGTGTTGTTTTTGTCAAATAGGGAGATTAAGTTGGGATGTATGGTGGAGACTTTAAGGTTATTCACAATCACAAAAATCACCCAAAAAAAACATTCTGGAAAACAAGCTAAGAACAAACAATTTGGCAAAGTCCAAGTTGTGACACAAACGTTTGGCAAAAGAAGAAAATTCGCAATCATTATTCAATGGTGTAAATTAGATAAATTTTACTCCGTATTTATATGTAATATTCTACAAATCATATAGAAAAAAAGTAAATTGTTCTAAAAAAATCATGTACAACAGCTCACTCATAAGTATTATTTTCTAGCTCGCACGGGCTTAGTTTCAGTAGGCAATATTCGGGAGAAGAGACGAAGGTTCGAATCTCGGTGGGAGATTATGCTCAAAGTGGACAGATCCCTTGTGCGCACTGACATTTAGCACTGTCTGCTGAGCAATTGAGTCACCGTAATTTACATCATCCCAAATGTTTTGTTAGACCGTGATTTAGAGGGTCCTTAGGATTCGGAATTAGAAGTATTATTTTCTAGAATTTCAACGTTATAGATGCGGTATAATTGGAATAATTACCAATTCCTTCTTTCTTGATTGCCACACGGCTTAAGATTCCAATGCACAAAATCACAAAATGGGAATTCAATTCATATCAATCGCCATTCGCCATGCGTATATGACCATTGACTCTTCCGAAAACTCTCTTGTGACAGCCCATGAATAAGTGGGGGATGGGTGGCTTTAATGTATTTGTCGTCGCCACCATTTTAATTAGTCAATTTCACCAAAGTTTCGCCACGATTATAACAATTTAAGGTTTAAAAAATGCTATTTTTTAAGGATGGCAATTGTAATCTATTCCGTGAATATTCATTTGAATTTGATCCCCATAGTTTGAGTTTTTTTGGATGATAGTAGCTAGCTTAGTAGGCAATGGACGACAATAATTTAAAAATAAAAGAATTTTCTTTTATTTTTTTTTTTTTTTTTACTTTTGTTCCTTTGAATATTGTACATATATCAAATTTGGTCCTTAATTATTAATAATTACAAATTGTAATGTGTTTAGCCTTTGGGAAGTGGCAAAATTAGAGGGGTAAAAAAGTAACTTCACATTACAAAGTTTGATATATGTACAATATTCAAAGGAACAAAAGTAAAAAAAAAAAAGTATATATATATATATATATATATATATATATATATATATATATAAAGTTTGTATGAGCAGCTCAATTGGTCATAACGGTGAAGTTTGGGAAGGATAACCAGGTATCGAGTCTCATACGCGACACGGTGAGAGCAGGTTCCTTGTGCGCAGTACGCAAATGTCTAATCTCTGTGGTTCAGTTGAGTTATCATTCTCAGATGCTCTGGGGTGTGAGGGGCCCTTGAGATTGAAGATTCAACATTTTTAAAAGAAAATTTTTCTAAAGTGTTTGTGAGAAGGAGAAGCAATGAAAGAGGTTGGAGGGCATTCCGATCCCTTGCTTTGCTTTCTACGATACAGATTGGGAAGAATAGGCAGTAGCTGTTAAAGTGGGTTCATTCTTGAAAACCAAGTAATATTCTACAATTATTTCCGCCAAGCAAATGACAACGAGAGAAATATCTTTTTTATTTTTATTTTATTTTATTTTTGGTTATCAATCACAAAAAAGATATATGAATTAAAAAAAATTTCCATTTTTTTTAATTTTGTTTTTAAGTCTATCTGGTATCTACTAGTAAACATAACCCCCATGTCATTTAATCTAAACTTGGTGGGGTTGATTTGACTTTTGTAGATAGTAAATTTTTTTGATTAAATACTTTGCATTATATATAAGAAATTAAAGTTTTACGGTTTGATATTGTGAACATACTTTGTATTTGATGGTATTGTACATCATATCTTTTATATCTTCAACAACACATACGATGTATATATTAAAAAATAGAGAGCTTCGAAAAAGGTTACCGATTTGGTGGACCATAGTTATCGTACTAAAAAGTCATGAACTTGATTCTTATATTGTCAATATTTTCTTAGTTGAGATATTCAATCAAAGTTTTCCTAGTGCGATTTACCTCTTTTTTATGATTGAGCTTGTTGCACGTGATCTTTTTAGAGGAGCAGGGTTTGCACATCTCGTGTAAATCGCACACCTTCGTGTCATAGTTGCGCATTTCATTTGTCATACAAAAAAAAAAAAAATAGCTAAAAAAAATGAATAGGCGAAAACTAAGTATGACGATAATAGGTAAATGAATGAGTGCACAGAACAAAATGTTAGCCGATGGATTTACCAAAACACCCCGCCCCTCTCAAAATGGAAAGATGCATCGGGGTAGGTATTTTGGTATTTGGTGTTTCTTACTTTGATGACATTTCTCTCAAATTTTTTTTTTTGGTTTTTTCCTTTTTTTCCTTTTTAGACATAACGACACCGAAGTATGTTTTATATATAAGGTCTGGTTCCTGTGCAGGCGTATGGTCATACACCACCATGTATGCAAGAACGCATCATCACGTGTTCAGAAATGCATCATGGTGTGGTGTATTTTTGAACACGTGGTGGTGCATGACCGCACGTCTCAGGATGTGATGTATTTGTGCATTTCACTCTGGTGCATTTTTAACACGTTGTGGTGCATTTATGCATACCAAATGGTGCATGACAGCACGTCCGCATAAAAAGACCTGTCCGCATTTGATTCTCTATGTGTGTCTATATATATATATATATATATATATATATATATATATATATAAAGTGGAAGAAACCACATCACTAGTGTGGTTCATCCAAATGGGTGACATTAGCTTTGCAACTACTAGAATAGAAATTAGATAGCCATCTTGGGTTGTCCATAGACTATGGATCTTCCCCACCATATATCTCTTTAAATAACAATTAAATTAAACAATAATGACACCATACACTAATAATAATCACGAGAAGAAACCAATTCCATTTCTCTAAGCAAAGGGGGACAGTTTGTCTTCCCATTTTTTTTAGTGTTCCATTTACCAAAAGAATAGACCATACATCACTCTTCCCAAATCTCTAATCTCCAAATCTTAAATTAAACCAAAACACTCTTAACATACCACCCTATTGTCCTTCTTAATTTGAAACGGTCAGTTATTGACATATGACCCTTCACAATATCATGTTTAATGGCTGAGCGTTTTCATCATCTGTCATCACCAAAAAGAAAAAAAAAAAAAAAAAACTCTTAAATTAAACAAAAAAATAAGGATTAAATTGAGGGTGAAGAAAAACAATAATTTTGAATAAATAAAAAAAAAAGTCATTATATTGAAGATGTAGGATAGGGAAAGGTGAGGAGAATGGGGCCATGTACGAACAATCCCAGCGGCAGCGGTAACGGCAAAGACCTTCTGCACACCCAACAATACCATCACCCAATTCCTACTCCAACTCCAACTCCCCCACACCTCATTTATTCCCTGTACAATACATACAAACTCTTCAATAAAGAATCAATACTAATAAGAAAATCAAGAATCATACAAATCAAAGTTGAAAATTTTAACCATACATCTAAATGGTATAGGTTCATGTAATTTTACTCCTCTTTTTTTTCATCTTCCTCGGGCAAAAAAAATTGGGATTTTTAAATAGGGGAGATAAATATAAAAAGGGATAGAGGGAAAGGTGAAGAGTTGATAAGAAACTGGAGACTCCCCCCATTCCTGTGTCAAAAGAAAAGGCAAAGACACAGAGCAAAGAAGGAAGAATACTCTTCTCTCTCTCTCTCTCTCTCTCTCTCTCTCTCTCTCTTTGAAGGGGCATTAGCATTGAACATAGCAAACAGGGAAGCAGAGATAAAGAGGATAAAGCAAAGGTTTTTAGGAGCAAAGGAGGTGTGAATGGTGTTGGTAATGGTGGAGCTCTGCCCATGGTGGTGGTGCTGCTGACATATATAAAGATTCATTTACTTTCCATTTCTTCTTTCAAAACTCTCTCTTTCTATCTCTATCTCTTTCTCTTTCTTGCTTATACACAAGAAAGAATCAATCAATCAAAACTTGGTTGGCCCAATTTCTTCTCTTCATGCTGTTTTTGTGTAAGCCTTAATTAGCCTCTTCCCTATACGCTCCCACCAATCACACTTCCCTCTTTTCCCATCTCCCTTCACTGCCTTCCTTCTATATATATATATATTCTTGATTGATTGATCATATCAGAGAATTGCAGAGGCAACAATGGCAGTTCAAGCTCAATACCCTTCCAATGTACTCTTCTTCAACAGGTTCCTATTCCTATATGCTTCCCTGGATTCTATCCTGTCTTTTCTGGTTGTTGATTGGTGCTCTGATTCTTCGTTTTTGTATGTTGTCTTGTAGAAGTTTGCAAGATGGGAAGAATCCTCTCACTCCTTTGGGCAATGATTATTCTTTTCAAAATCATGGTGGAGGAGGAGGAGGAGCAGTTGTTGATCAAACGCAAATCCGGTTGAATCCTGCAGGTATGGATTTTCTCCGTTTCGAGACCTAATCGTATTGTGATCGGAGAATCCAATCGTTGAAGGATGTTGTTTTTTGGTGATTTCAGATGGGAGTAATTCGAGGAAAAGGGCGAGAGAGCATGAGATGAATCCGTTGATGTCAATGCAATCGCAGCAGCCTAAGATTATTGATCTCGCGCAGTTACACGCGTCGCCGCCGCCGCCGCCGCCTAATGTTGTTTCCACCGGATTACGATTGGCGTTCGGAGAACAACAAACTCAACAGCAATTTCAACAACAACAACAAAGCTCGGTGTCTCCTCAATCTTCTCTGTTGTTTTCGGTATTAGCGGAGGATTTGAGCACGCATATCAAACACCAGCGTGATGAAATCGATCAATTTCTCCGAGCTCAGGTGAGATTTCGAGGATTTTCTGTGGAAAATATGGTGGTGATTTCTAGGGATTTTCTCCGGCGTGTATTAATTTTGGTTTTTTTTTTTGTGTGTGTGTGTATAGGGAGATCAATTGAGGCGGACATTGGAGGAGAAACGGCAGAGGCACTACCGCGCGCTGCTGGGAGCGGCGGAGGAATCGGTGGCGCGGAAGCTGAGGGAGAAAGAGGCGGAGGTGGAGAAGGCGGCGAGGCGGAACTCGGAGCTGCACGCCCGCGCGCAGCAGCTGAGCGCGGAGGCGCAGGCGTGGCAGGCGAGAGCCAGGGCGCAGGAAGTCACGGCGGCGACGCTGCAAGCTCAGCTACAGCAGGTGATCATGAACGCCGGCGCCGTCCAGGAGAGGGAAGACGGAAACGCGCCGGCATGCGGCGCCGGTGGAGACGCGGAGGATGCGGAGTCGGCCTACATTGACCCGGACCGAGTAGTTTTGTCTCCCGGGCCGAGCTGCAAGGCGTGCCGTAAGCGAATCGCCTCCGTGGTGGTGTTGCCGTGCCGCCATCTTTGCCTCTGCTCCGCCTGCGATGCGGTGGCTCAGGCGTGCCCGCTTTGCCTCTCCGTTAGAAGTTCCAGCGTCGAGGTCTTCCTCTGTTAAAGGCCCGGCCCATCTTCGAATACTTCGGCCCACTTTAACAATGGCCCAAGTCCAATTTCGTTATTTAAAAAAAAAAGAAAGTAAAATAGCAACCGAAAATGAACAAAGAAATAATATTGAATATAAAATAATAAATATATATATTTTCTTTGAACTAATCTTTTCTTTTCTCTGCAACCAAAAAAAAAAAAATCCATGTCAAATTCTTTTTTTCTTTTCCTTTTTTTTTTTTTTTTAGGGCAAAAGAACTTTAGAGGTGATGTACATTGTGTCATGGGTCGGAGTGACAAATGCCATTTTTTGGTTTTTTTTTTTAATCTTTTAATTTAATTCATTTACTTTATTTGCTTGTACATCTCCCTTTCACGAAATTATGCTCGTGAATTTTATCGTCAAATTATTTAATTATTATCTTCTTTTTTTTTTTAATATTTCACATCATTTTTTTCGGGAAAAAAAAAATCTAATCTGTTTTTGTGTAATTGTCTTGGTATGCATCACACATTCAAATATCCAGCTCAATTAATGGTCATCAACCAACTATTCCAAAACTAGTTTGTTGTTATTTACTAAAACCTCCTCAGTCGTACTGTAATTTACCTCTCACGTATAATTAACCTGGACCGACAGAATATAAATCACGATAATTCGATAGTTAAGCAGACAGCCAAATGTCGGTGAGCACAAGGGTTCTGCTCACTTTGGACATAATTGTTATACTACCGCTGCTCCCAAATATTACCTACTAAACTATTGAGCTAAGCTCGTGTTTTTGTTCTCTCAGTCGAGCTTGTCACACACCATCTTCATAATACGATTTATCTTTTCCGTGTAGTTTACATGTTATACAACAGTAGAGTTTATTCAGTACACACCCTTAGATAGTGATTATGTGTTTACTTTGTGTATCCTTATTGTATTCTTAAAAATTGATGAATGTGATAGGTATATGCACAATGTTTGAAATCTGAACCTTAAGTTTGAATTTGATTGATTTTTTTTTTTTTTGGGAGAGTAATTTGATTGAATTATTGGAGTGGCTTTTTTAAGTTAGTTTGTGTCTTTTCCAAAAAAAAAAAAAAAAAAAGTTAGATTGTGTGATAAGTTGGAATCTTGATTGGGATCACATGGATGAACAGACACCACAGTGTCCAATGAACTCATACTTTATGGCAGATGCACAATTAATGTATAAGCAAATGCGGTCAGTCATGATTTGGGTCGCGATATAGTAATGACAATTCAGTAAATTAGGAATACACTGATCAAGGAGTTTATTCAATGCAATAAAATCAAATCTTGAAAATCCCAATTCCAATTCCAATTCCAAGTTTTTGAAGATGACAAAACAAATGTTAGCTGTATAGAAGGTTCATTATATATATATATATATATATATATATATATATATAAAAAGTTACATTTAAATACAAACCCCTTAAAATACAAACTTGAACTCGTGCACACATTAACATACTTACATGCACACTGGACGCACTGCCAACAATATCTAGAATTAGCTCGTGCATACATTAACATACATGCACACAGTTTGTATTTGAAAATAATCATATATATATAAGTTGAAAACATTAATTTGCATTTTTATGATATGTAAAAGAATGGGTGCACTTATAGTTTTCGCAGTGTATTTTTAGAGTTTTTTTACATTTTCTTAGTGCATACCAAAAAAATTAAACAACATTTTTAATTTAGAGAAAAATTTACATTCGTTACTCAAAAATGCACATTGTGTGAAGTTAGTCTAGTCAAAAAAAATTGACCAGTTGATTTGTGGTGTGGATGGATCATGGATGCAATTCAATTGTGACAGCTTTTCTTTTCCCCCTAAAAGAAGGATTATAAGTGCAAGGAAAGTGGGATCACAACTTTTTTCTCCCCAATATTTTAGCCAATTCTGAATTGTTCTTTTCCTACTAAGCTCCATGCCCCTCCAAAACCATGTATTCAAGGTTTGATTGATTGAATGCCATACACACTAATCCATATGTTTTTATTATTATAATTAATAATAATGACAGTCACTTAGTTTGACCAGATCACACACAATACAACATGGATGCTCATCATCAAATACAACCAAATTATCTCCTAAGTCATACATTTGTATTGTATCCCAATGGCTCTTCACATGTGACATCCACACCACTTCCATTTTAGGTTTTTTTTTTTTTTTTTTTTTTTTTTTTTAAATTGATTCGATAAGTATAACACTAATAAATATTATTAAGTACGTAATCAACATTGGATGTTTTTAATTATTAAAAAATTGTTATAATTCTTAAGAGAGTTTCACGGTAAGATTCATCCATCGAGTGGGGACTAAACTCGGTCTTAGTGATCCTATGGTGCCGAGTGAAATGGTTTTTCGATCAGCAGATAAATGCGCGCTAATTAAGAATAATAGATTGATTTTCTCTCGAAACTCATATCGATGAGAAGGTTTGACGTCTCGATGTTCACCCTTCAAACTTAGGGTCGTAGTTATAGTATGTTCCAAGGGTTAGGCGTTCCCCTCTTACAATGGCACATGAGTTGAGTTTATAACATCATGAGACAATTTGGTCAATATTTAGTTTGGACTTTAGAGTACTGAGAGAACATTTTTCTAATATGAGGTTAATTATTTATATGAAAAATATGTTCTATCACAAACTTTTTACATCAAATAATGTGATTTGTGTGATCGGTCATAACTGTTCAATTATTGATAATACTTCAATCGACTTACTGACTATGACTATGATTGTATGAATAACATAGAATAACATTATTTGAAAAAACAAAAGATTAATTTATAGCAGATTACATTGCTCATATTCGTACCAATCTTTTGGGCTTTGATTTAGCTATTATAAGTTGAAAGGAACTTATTCCTAATCACCACCAAATATGTTGCTAATGGCTACCATGTCAAAAAGTTTTGAAGCAAATCAACTCATGCATGGCACCAACACAATTTGGATTTGCTTTCTCTATATTTTTATTTGACTTTATTATAAAAATAATGCAACTCTCCAAGATCCTCTCTTTTAAATTTTTGGTAGGGCTTCTAGTAAAAGATATTTCAGGTTTAAGAGTTTTGAATTGTCTTTTGAGTGAAATTTCTCCCAAACAAAAGTTCAATTTTATGCTCTCAAAAAAGTTCAATTCTACAAACATAATTTAGGCAAATCTAGATTAGTCTTACCATAATATTGGATTCTGTAGGCAAAAAATATAAATATTTGGTTGGGCAGTGTAAAGAAAGAAAATGCTGTCCTGGTCAGTTTTATGTCTAGAAATAATAATAATAATAATAATAATAATAATAATAATAATAATAATAATAATAATAGATTCTTTAATTATTTATTTTTCAATAGTATTTAATAATTAATTAAATGCTGAAATTAATATGTTGGACTTGGACAAGGCCGGTTATTGTCCTCACTGCTTACATCAAATCTAATTATTTCCTTTTCAACTAACAAATTGGACCACAACAAATAAATATTATCGTTTTCATCACTTGGTCCAATTTTTCTCTTTTACTTTTACTCCCTTTATAGTTAGAATTTTTCACATTAAAAATAACAACAACAACAACAACAAAATAATAATAATAATAATAATAATAATAATAATAATAATAATATAGTATGCTTCCAAATAGTGATGATATAATGAAACCTGACATATAGTTGCATTAACAATTGCTCTAAACTATTAATTTTTTTTTTTAAAAAAAAAACAAGGAAAAATAAATAAATAACAAGTTAAAATTAAATGATATAAAACGTGAAAAATCCATTCTAGTAATATCCTCAAAGACTATAGGCATAATTCCTTGTAGTGGATACTCAAAGTACTAATATATAGTCAAAGTGTTACGTTAGACCTTTTATACAATAAGAGTCATCCAATTTGCACAATATATAGATAGCATCATATCCTTGTGAACCTGTTTAATAGTATGTGTCAACTCCCGTATAACCTGCACAAGATGACATTATTATTTTCCACAATTTATAACTGTCGTACTGCCAACAATGAGCCACTCCCAAACGCACCATTTAATAGTTTCGACAAGTTAAGCAGCTCTTAATAAATAAATGGCGTCCATTCAGCAAAGTCCTTGATACAAGGTGAAACTTTAACCCAATGATTTTTTTTTATTTTTTTTTTAATTTCTTACGTACAATCTTACACTTGCAAACAAACTAAATTAGCGACGAGGGCTTTGGTAATTTTTTTTTTTTTTTTTTTGAAACCCTACATGCTTGTTCTTTACGCTGGTCAAAGTCAATTACCATAGCGCATTAAATCTTGGCAACCAAACACTGCATACACGAAAACATAAACTCGACGCACGCGGCATTATTTATATTTAGTTGCTGCAAGTACCAATTCTGCCCAACTTGCAAGTAATGTATACTATACGCAGCAGTGGACCCTGTGATGTGATGGAAGGCCTGTTTGGGGATTTCAGTCATTGCAGGAATGAAAATTGGGGTTTCACTTTCTTTAATTTATTATTGTTAAGTTCAAATACATTCTTACCCCAATTATCTATTATCTCACACAAATTTATAAAAATATCATATCCTTGATTGCCACGTTATTGAGTAAAAATGATGGGGTAGAATTTGAGAATACATATAGTAAAATTCATATCTGATATGCAAAAAAAATAAATAAATAATTAGTGGAGAGCCTAAAAAAAATAATGTGTAATTAAAGAATAATTGATTACATATTAGTAAAAGGAAATTATGTATATTAAAATAAATCATTACCTTTTATAATATTTTTTTAGTACTATTTACTCTGTTACAATGTAGTATTTATTCATATATACTTTCTCAAATTATTGAAGCACAAAAAGTCACTATCCCCACTAAGATTCAAATCTATGACCGATCATTTAGGAGAGCCACAATCCCACAAGGTCTTAAGCAGACGTTAGAAATATCTAATCTAAAATATATACAAAAAAGTCTCAATTCAGGTTATATATCTGATTTAAGTCTGTTTTTATTGTAGTATCTGTTCAAATATATGGTCTCAACCTATTGAAACACAATAAGTCAATATTGCCCCCACTAGGATTTGAACTCATGACCTTCCATTTGGGTGACGTTTGCCACTTGACAAATCGTATACTATTATTTTTAAAAAATATTTTAATATAATTAAGAATTTAATATTGAGTATTAATATTAACATATATTTTTTGCACATCGCGCATAAAAAATACTAATAATAAAAATAGTTCCATTTGTATATGAATTTAATTTCCCAACAAGAGATCGTTAACAATGATGTGTGGCCAGTGGAAGAATTGCAATTTCGAATTGTTTCTCATGAACCAAATTAAACGTGTCATATATAAGGGAGTTATTTTAATTTCTTTCTTTTTAA